GGCAGATGATTGCTTTCTCCTAGCTTTCCTGCGACACGCAAAGTTCAACCACTCAAAGGCACAGAAACGCCTGGACAACTTCTGCACATTCCGCACATCTGAAACTCTCGGAGTTCCTTCATGGTTCAGCAATGAGGCAGACAGATTGGAAATCTTGATGAATTTTGTAAGAAAAAAGTAAGTTTCCAGTAACCCCGTATATCAAAATTGTCTAGAGATTGCAGTGTAAGTAAGACATATTTATACAGCACTTTGAGTCACTCGTTTAAAGTCGCCACCTGTTTACGTCAAAATTGACAGACCACTATAATCGACCATTTGCTTAGAGGCAATTGATAGTGGATTGTTCCCACTGACTCCTGAAATTAAATAAAACAACTATATCATAAGCTTCAAAGCTATTTGATAAAAAAACGTCCAAAAGTATGCTAAGGGAAACGGATAATGTCAAAGTTTTGTGGAATTACATGCTCCAGTATAACAAAACCTTCGATTTTTAATGTTTATATCAGTTTTCTACACAATCTGTTTAAAAAGGGTTCCAATATTTCTGTCCCATCGATAATTTCAGGATGATGACCGTGCTGGGTTTCACTCAGGAGGGAGTAATGTGTATGCTAATGAGAGGAGGTAAGTAAGCCCTCCGATCCTCTTACGGATCTGTATAGAGAAGTGGACACCAATGATTGATAATATGGAGGAAGCGTACAGAGCAACGCAAGCCTGGAATGACACCTTTATCTGTGATGAACGTGTTCAAATTGGAGGAATTGCCTTCATCATGGACTTTGAAGGAATGAGGAAAAGGGATTTAATGAAAATGCAAGATATGCAGGCCTCGAAAATGGGCACAATGTATTTTCAGGTAGGTTGTACTCCACATGACCATCCAGGCTGCTCAATTGACCTGATCACATTAATGATACAAGTACTGTGTTAGTTTTTAAATTAATCGTTACCAAGGGACAATAAACTTTTTGATTAAGACGAAAAGTAGTTTAATACATAGAGATCTATTTGAAGTTACATTGAATCATAAGACATTTTACAGCATGTACTTAGGTAGCATTTTCTTTTTGACAGTTTATGACTGACTTTCCGCTAACATTTAATAATATTCCCACTGTTAGGGAAGGCTCTTTGTCATACCGCGGTGGGCCTACCTCTTGGCTTGTGCCCGGGAAACGCTTTTTTACTTATTAAAGCGTTACCAAGGGGCAATAAAAATTTTATTAAAACGTAACTAGTTACTGCATAGAAATCAATTAGAAATTTCGCTGAATCGTAAGAAATTTTACTGCATGTACTTAAGTAGCATTTTCTATTTGACAGCTTATCAGTCACTTTCCGCTAACATTCAATA